TTAGGAAGATTTTACACGAAAAGTTGATGATTTGGTTAGGACGGTGTTACTTAGTGAACGTTATGAGGCTATTGGTCCAATATATCGTCTTTCAATTCCAATTTTTGAGAAGCAGTTAGACTTTAAGGTTTTTTATGATAGTAAGTTTTAAATATTTTTCCGTTCCAGTATCTTGTTGGGATATATGCCGAACTTCAACAAGCATCTTCAAGGGCAGCTGAAATTAAATTAAACTCAAAAAGACATTTGGGTTCTTATTTCAAAGTTGTATTTCATGGAGAGTCACATTTTTGGTAGCTGAGATTTTTATTTCAAGTTTTATTAAAAATATAATTTAAGTGATGAACACAAAACTGAATGGGTATATCGAGAGCCAAAACTTACTTCTTTGGCTGAAGCGTGTGATCATATGATTGAATCTGTTCGGCTTGCTCTTGGGCATGATCGAGTCCAAATTTTAAATGACAAATCAATAGACGAAGCCAATCTAGATCCATCAATTGCTTTCATTCAAGTAGCTTATATAGAACCCTCACCTTCTTCACCCAATAATTCTAAAAACAAAAATACAAGTACTAAAAGTAGCAGCAATACTGATTCTTCTTCCACTAGCCAATCAACCAGTGAAAATATTTTAACAAATGAAGAGAAGATAGATTTAATGGCATATAATTCACATACAAATATTTGGACATTTATTCAAGAAGAAAAGTTGATTGATAATAATGTTGACGAGAATGAACAAGAAATGGCTAGAACAGCTTTGAGAAGATTAATTTTGACTGGTAACTTTTAATGATTTTTTAAAATAAAATACTTTTTTAAGTCGAAAGTCCATTCCCAAATACTCGTCGTCGTCAAAGAATTGTTCAAACAGAAGAAAATATCCTTTCACCGTTAGAGCTTGCTTGCGAATGTTTAATTTTCAAAGCTGGTCAAATCCGACGAATTCTTACTGCTGCAGATATTCCTCGTTCACATTATGGAATTCACGATAAAGAGACATTGAAGCGATTAGATTTAAAGCAATTACAATTGTTTTTGCAAGGCTCTGTTAGTCCAACTGTATGTAAATATTTCTTGTTTTGATTTTTTCTAAATTTTCATTTAATTTTTAACAGGTAAATGCAGGATTGTTAGCCTATGCTGAATCTTTTACAAGCCCTGCTCAAAAACAAAGATATGGTAAAAATGGAATTGGCCGTTTAGTTGTTGCATTCAAGTAAATTAAATAAATTTTAAGTCATTTGCATTTTTTAAATTTAAGAACTTTAATCGCTGAATTAGACGTTGCACTTCGAGTTAATGAGGCAGCATTAGCTGGAGATCGTGTAGAATATCAAAGTATGTTAAGACAATCGTTTGATGGAATGCTTGAACGCCTTTCAATGTTTTTTGAAGGAGAAAAGGTGAATAAAATAAATTATATTTTTAATTTTATTTACAAAATTTTAAGTTTTTACAAAAGCCGGGGGAGTCTGATTCTGATGACACTCTTTCTCTTGGTGTTTTTGGTCGTATCGAACGAACAGATAGTTCTGCTGCAGAGATGCACATTTTTGACTCAATTAGTGGATTAAATGGATAAAACATTTTATTAGATTAAATCAAGTTTAGGGGTAGGTACATGCTAGTAGAAATTATTGTTTTCTTTTAATTTCATTTTTTGGTGCTTTTAATTGACAGCTTTATTTTTCCTTCTTTGCCAACATCTTTCATTAATAATTGTGCTCACTAATAATCTATAAGTAAGGCAAAACTATGCATTAATATCTTGGTTAAAAGGTTTTGACGTTTCTTAGTTAGTCAGCCTTGTCCAGGTTATACGTCCAACCAAACTACGTCCGAACTAATCAAGCCACTTTGCACGCAGTGTAATGATCCAGACTTTGATTGAACGTATAATCTTGACAAGACTTACAAGTTTTGCCTTACTCTCTACTAACTTAATAAAAATGTTTTGGAATTTAGAGAACGGCTAGGCAGAATAATAAAATTGAAATTGATAAAAAATATTTTCCCTGCCTAGTCTTATTAGAGAGTGATGGCCATAATTAAATTTATCTTTATGTTTATTAATTAGTTTTTGTTATTCAACAATATACCTATTTTATAATACTAGTGTTAAAAAAATGCCCATTTCATTAATTTCACTCAAAATTTTTCAATTGGTCAACATATACATATATTTTAAATATTTTTATAAGTTTTTAATTTTATTCTGTTGATCTCTTTCATGCATTTTATGTTTTTGTTGTGCTAAATATTGCTCTAGACCTTTTGCCTCCCTTCTTTCGCAGCTAGTTTTTGTCTTTTTAAATTTTAAATAAAATTAAATAATTTTTTAAACTTTATTATTAACTACATTATAGGTACCTATATTTTTTAATATGCTACTACATATATCCCTTTTATAAACAAGTTTTTTGAAAATGTCTTTTAAAGGGATTTACACGAGAACTTTTAATATAAGAGAAAGGAGAAAATTGAGAGTATGTTCTCTCCTGACAACTAATTTTGTGAAGAACATTAAATTGTTGCTGTGATCTCGAACGACCTAGATTTTTAATGATGTTGGTTGGGCGGAAACTAACCTTTTGATAGAAAAAAACTTATTATGCACTTTCTCTTATAGAAAGATTTTTTAAATTATTTTACAAATATAAACTCTAAAATAATTAAAATTTATCCTCTAAATTATTAAAAAAACAATGTCAATTATTTTTTTATTGACAACCATTGTAATATTTACCAGTTTAGAATTAAATTACATAATAGCACAAGAAGAAAGTGAGTACATAATTAATAATGGGAGAAAACAACCTCGGATATTAGAAAATTTCCAGTTCAGACGCCGGTTCCATAGAAACCCGCCAACCTTATTTAAAACACTTTATCAGGGGTTTATACTTTATAAGAGAGAAAGCAAAATTGTAAAATTGTGACTGACAGGAAACACCGTTGACGTTCATGCCAAATAAGACCTTGCCCCCAACTTTTAGTCTTCCATTTCGTTTTCCCTACATCTTACTCGGATATATCTTAAAATAAAACTAAAAAAATTAACATTGAATTAATAATATCCTTTTGTTGGTTCTCTTTCACCATGCCTTCAACGTTGTATGGAGCCTATGGCAACAATTGAAAAGTCAATTTCAAATATGTACAGAAATTATGAGAAAGTCTGTGAAAAATTAGATAAATCTGCCCATTGCTCTCAAAAATGTTCTCTTCAAGACCAATCAGCATTCTTCCAATATACAACTTTTTATCGAATACATTGTATTGACTTTGAGGAGGAACTTGAATCTGTACTTCCTTGTCTTCGTGAAGCTGCTTATAAAGCTGATATTGGTGTTTTTTGATTTTGAAATTGTTTTATTAAAAATTAAAATATAATACTGTATTTTTCCAAATAAAGCCCCACTCCCAATTGGAGCCCCGCTTCCTAATACAGTCCCAGTCTGGAGGTCTGTTGAAAACTAAAGCTCCATGGGGTTGGATTTGGAAAAATATATTTACATAGTTTAAATTAATGTTTATTTTTGGGTAAATAATTATAGGAAAATTAGGGTGATAAGGCAAAAATGTTTTAAAGTAGCTGATAAAGATTAAGACAATCTTTCATTTATAGTATATAGAAAAGTATTTTTAATTTTTTCTTTGCACTAATCATTCAAAATAACTTTATTTATTTTCTGTTAAAATTCAACAAAAAAAGAATAATTTTAAAAAAAAAAGAATAATTTTTTAAAGTTTGTCGAGAAAAATGCGTGGCCAAGCAACCAGCAGAAAAACAAATGAATAAAGAAGAACGCCAAAAACAGCTTTGCAAGTGAGTAAAGTAATAATGGAAAAGGGGTTAATTTATTCTGAAATTTCCAAAAAACTTTTACCTATTCCAACAAATTTGTGAGAAAATAAAACTACGAAAATTCATCAAAAAATATTTTTTATTTTTTTAGAAATGTTGAATGTGCCACAATTTGTTATGTAAATCAATTAAGTAATTCATGCCCATCTGCTAAACAAGTTTTAATTGTAAGTTGTTGTTATTGTTAAAATATTTTAATTTTAAAAGAAATTAAATGTTCGTATTGCAAATGAAATGCGTAGACTTACAAAAGATGAAGATTTTGAAAAACTTTCAAGTCAATGTCAAAGAGTTCATTTAGGGGAGTATTTACAGAAAAGATTAATTGAATCAACAAAATAAATTTTTAAAAAAAGGAAGGAGGGGGTGGGTCATAAAATAAATTTTCTAATTTTTCTGAATGATCCAGAAATACTATTAATTTATTGCACTTTTTAAAAAAATTTTCAAAAATAGCACAAAATATATTTAAATGCACACAAAAATAAAATAATTTATTTTCCAATCATTTTTTTTCTTTTTTTAATTTTCTTCTTTTTCTTTTACTAATTTAATACAACAACATTTAGATTTATTAAATTTTTGTTCAATTTGTGGTAAAATAATTAAAATAAAAGAAATTAAAATAAATATAGAGCCAATAATGAATAAATAATTTATTGAAATTGAATTAAATAATATATCGATTACTGTAAATTTTTAAAATTAATTTAATTTAAATTATATTTTAAAATTACCAGTACTAAGAGGAATTCCAAAAATCATTCCAATAGACACAATTAAAGGCCCGAGTATTACAATACCAAAATTAACAAGGGAATTAAATACTTTAATTATTTAAACAATTAATTTTTTAAATTAAATTGAAAGGAAAAATTAAAGTAAAGATATTACTGTATTTACTCAAATAATAATCCTTTCCCTATTAATTACCCCTCCTCTCAAACTTATAATTATCCTTTAATATAATTACCCCTCCCTCCCTCAAAAAATAATTACCTCTTGAAAAGCCTTTCTAAAATCTCTCAAATAATCTCCCCTCTTAATTTATTACCCCCGTCAGTGAAAGATTGATACAATAATTACCCAGGGTAATTATTATAGTAAATTAGTTAGGGGGTTGAGGTTATCGGGTCGGGCCGACCGTGTCTTTTTCGTGCCAAAATTCGATGCCCGACTCGCTCTTTCGGACCGGGCCCCCAACCCTAACGGTAATCTCTACTTTAAATTTAATTAAAAAAAACCAACAAAGAATTAAAAAGGCACTTCCAATTAATTCTATCCAAGGTATATATTCCCAATTTAAATAATCTATTCCACAAAATAAAAAAATAAAAGAAACAATTCCATTCAAAAATAAATTAGTTAACCCCAATAAAGACATAAATAAAGATATTTGACTTAGTGAAGAATTTTTGAAAAATTTTTTGAAAAAAACCTTTAAATATTTATTAATTTTAATTAATTAAAAAATAAACTGCCTTATAAAAAGAAGCAAAAAGAGCACTTAAAATAACCAAAATAATTCCAGATAAATTATTTCCAAAAAATTCAGAATCAAAAGAAATAATAACAACTCCACTGATTGCTAATGCTGTTGCTATTGTCTTTAAATTAAATTAAACAAAATTTTTTGTTTTTCAAAAAAGGATTATTTAGGTAAAGGTTGGGCACAAAATCAGTTATCAACTAAGGTTGTCGGAAAGTTGGAAATCTTCAGATATTTGGATCCGATAACTTTATTATCGACTAGTCCTGCTTATTTTGGTTAATCAAAATTTAAAAAAATGGTTTTCGATTTTGAGTGTTAATTAAATACCGGATTTTATTTTGGGGGATTTTTACTAAAAATCACTCATTTCCAAAAATTTTGTTTTTATGACACACAAAAACGGTTAATTTTTGGCAAAAAATATCAAAATTTTCCAATTTTAGCCTGTCTTGTTCAATTAAATTTTAATTTTGTGTTATTTTTATATTTTTATATAAAAGTTCATTGAAATTCTTTACTTTAAAAATTTCACTTGTTTCTTCCCTTTCCAATCAAATTTTTCAAAAATTTTAAAATCAAAGAAAACCTTAATACAACTAAAATTCTCTCCCAACAATATCCACTCTAATAAATAAACTATAGCACTATTTGTACTCATTATTGAAGTAGCCGTACTTGCAGATATTTTAATTAAAGCTCTAGCATATAAATAATTCGAGCAAGTCCACAAAATTAATAAAATAATTAAATGTCCAATTCTTTTTTTAAATTTTTGTTGAAATTTTAAAATTTGTAAAGCTTTTAAATGTTCTTCTTTTAATAATTTTTTGTTTCTTTTTAAACAAATAAAATAAAAAATAAATAAAGGATAACAGAAAAACATAAAACAAGTCCCAAACCAAACCTTTTTTAATTAAAATTAAAAATATTTTTTTTTGGAAAGTTAAACCATAAAGAAAGGAGCAAAAACATGTTTTTTGTCTATAACCATAACAGATTTTCGAAATTGTGTTGCCAAAGCCCATGACGTGGCAATTGAAAAAATGAACAAAAAACTTGCTAGAAACTATAAAATAAAAAATATATTTTTTTAAAAATTAATTTTTATCTTAAAATTACAATTCCAAAATTGTGGAATTAATTCTAGAAGGAATTCAAAGATTAAATAGAGGATTTCAAAAATTTAATTGAAAATTCGATTTTAGAATTTTTTTTGATTTTCAATGTTACATATTTTGTATTAAAAAATAAATTTTGTTAATATTTTCAAATCTTCTGAATTTTTAGTTTTTAAAATTTAATATTCTATTTTTAAAGAATTTAAAGTAAAATTCCTCTCAAAATTCTCTAAATCTCAAAAAATCTTTTAAAAAACCTTTAAAGGTTTTTGTTGTTGTTGGCCATTATTTTTATTATTAATATTTTGTTGGCATAAATCTATATTTTCATTGCAACAATCTTCTTCTATTTTTTGGTCCTCAACCTTTACATTTAATGATTTTTCTTTTTTATTATTAAGCATGTAAATTAAATTAGTCAATAAAATTAATGTTAGTAATTAAATATAAATGATTTTTATCTTTCATTAATTTACACTAATTATTTTCTTACATTGTAATTAATTTAAAGTAAAGAATGTGAAAATAATTTTGTAAAATAAAAATGGGTGAAATTGATCTTCGTACCACCCCCCCTTTTTCTTTCTTTCTTCCACGAGTAAAAAAATGGTCAGACTTAAAAGGTGTTACAAACCAATACTGTCGTGTACAAACTACTTAGTATATTTGTAATAAGTTCACTTTATTCCAGTAAAATCTTTTATGGGAATAGAGAGTTATACTCACCCAAAGTTCTAATACAAGCACAGTAGTGATGCTTGAGACTCTCGGTCTCGATTCTCGAGCCGGGAAATTTCTCGGGGAATTTCGCCCTTCCTAAACCGAATTTGAAAAAATATTAGAAACCCTTACACAATAATTTATTAGAATTATTTACATATACATACAAATACAATACAAATATAGCAATACAATACAGTAAAATACAATTATAGCGAAAACGAATGTCGAAATATTTATACAATCATGAGGAAAATCAATAGGGTGAAATATCTCAATTTTATCTTTCACATTCCTCATTCCCAGTCATATGGATGCTCAGGGATCCTGTTCTCGGTGAGATATGCGCGCAGCATCTTCATTATCCAGCTGTAGTCTGGACGACCGTAGAAACGCATCTCGTCTATATGCCTCAGGATAGTTATGAATTCATCAGGGCAACCAGCGACGAGGGCACGCACAGCATCAGTTCGCACCTTCAGTGGATTGTTCGGGAGTCGAGCTTCTTTGAACGTACCAATCTGCAAAATCAATTAATTATTTATTAGTTAAGAATTTCTCAAAAATTCGTACCGCATCCATGTCGCCGACACCGCTCCAAGGAAGTTTGCCGGCATAGATTTCGACCATCATGTAGAACCTAGCAGGGAAAAAGTTAAGATTTGAAGGAAAGAAACTCAGTGACTTACCAGGATTCCATGTCATCCTTACGTGCGTATTCTCTTTTGATGTGTGCTGATGTAGCCGCATAACGTGGAGTCCCTCGGAAACGTGCAGACTCCCTTGGACGCATCAACGACCCATCTGAGTGCATGAACTTTCTCGCGATCCCAAAATCAAGCACGTAGATTATCTGCTGTTCTCCCTCTTCCTTCCGTCCGGTAGTCGTGTTTGCCGGCTTGATATCCCGGTGGAGATATCCAATGCCATGAAGAGCCCGTAGCGCGTTGACCATCTGAATTGAGACGCCGATCGCTGTACCAGGAGAGAAGCGTCGACCAGGCCGAGCTTTGACGAGTTTGTCCAGTCCTGGGCCAACCAGCGACATCCTAAAAGAAAAAGTTAAGTTACTGCCTAATTTACTGCTCCCTAAAAAACCCCATTCTACCCGTATAGAAAGGTATGTAATCCAAAATTCTTACACGATATAGTTGAAGGACACCTTTCCAGCAGGTCCAATGGTCTGACTGTCCCTGCCGATGTCGAAGCACTTAGTGAAGTGACGGTCGTCCTTTATGCGGTGCAGTTCTTGAAGAACATGGGCCTCCATTGCTAGTAGCGGCATTGACGCATCGACTGGCTCAGTTTTGAGAGCCCCTTCCCTCAAGCCGAATTTGCAGTGGTAGACAGCTCCGAATGCACCGGCACCAAGCTTTTTGATGATTGTCCATTTCTCCGCAACTTTCATCCCTGGCGATAACTCGACGAGCTGCGGCGGCATTCCTGAAGAATCTGTTGAGAGCTCCGGAAATGAGATAAGCGCAGGAAGGTATACAGATGACTAAAAATTAGGGAAGGAATTAGTGAAGATAAACATTAATGAAGATAAACAAGATAAACTGTACCTTGGAAGATAACGTCGTGACGAGCAAAGCCAAGTGTGCCAAGAGCCAAGCAGGTTAGAGACAGCGACCAATGCAAGCGGCGTGAGTTAATTGGGTGTGGTTGTGAACAGCAAAAATGTGTTGGCTTTTATAATCGAGATTTAAAGATGCCACTGCAAATTAGGCTTAGTTATCTTTAAATCCCGATTATAAAAGCCAACACATTTTTGCTGCCAACAACCATACCTCATTAACTCACGCTGCTTGCATTGTTGCGGTCCCGTATTCTCTTCACCTCGGATATCTACCATCACAGCATCAAATATGGCTCGGCAAGGTCAAATGTTGCAGGCGATTGGAGAGGATTGCATTGTCTACACTTGGTACAGACGCCCATACAATCGCCGAGTACCTACTCAACGCCAACTTGAACTTCAACAACAACTACAGCCAATTCAAGGAGAACCTCCCCCAACACCACAGATGCTAAATCCAAAACAAACTCAGCTTTCTGAGTTGGGTGAATTGATTTTGGTATTAAACGAGATTTAGTTTCATTAAAATCTCTTAAAATTTTAAGATTCGTTGCTTCCAATCTTTGCCAATAAATGATCGGTTTAACATGGAACACGTTTCTCGCCTCTTCCAGTCGGCCTCTAAAAGGAGTTGGAACATCCAAAAACAGTTAGCTGTCCCACCGGCCTCTTTGAAAAAAGGCACTTATTTAATTGATGTAAGACAAGTCTTTAAACTCGAGAAAATTTATTTTTAACTTTTAAGATTCGATATCTTTTTCGTCTTCTAATGAAAAGATGTGCTCGTTATTGCTTAAGTCTACAAATAAACTCAATGTTGAAACAAGAACGCATTTTTCGCCTTCTCCATTTGGGCTATAAAGTTGAGTGTCTCCAATTGGAATCATTAGACCAAATTTGTGGCTCAGAACTTGAAGAAATTGGAGAACGTTTACCTAATCTCAAAATTCTAATTATTCTAAAGTGTAAACTTGTAAGTTTTTTTAAAGATTATTTTTCAATCTTTTCCCTTCAATTTTTTAGCATTTCAATACCATTAATGGCTTCAATTTAATGTTAGAACAATTCCAACGTCTTATGGCCTTTGCCATTGTTCGTTGCACGAATTTTAGTTTGTAAAAATTTACAAAAAATTATTAAAAAATGTTTTTCAGGATCTGAACTTGAGAAACTGCCTCGAAGTCTTCGAATTCTTAATCTGAATTTATTTGATGTTGCGAATAGTGCAAAGTGAGTTTATGTATGATAGTTAAAAATAGGGGGAAAATTGGTTCATTTAGAGGTCAGTAAAATCACATTTGCAGGATCCTGTATCAGGATTGGGTTTTAAAATTTCGAACAGGGGAGGATCCCTCAGGATTAATCCTGAGGGATCCTGACAATCCTGAAAACAAAAAAGGCAGGATTTTGGACAGGATCCTGAAAAATTCTGTGCGGGATCCTATCCTACGCCAACCTCTAGTTCTATTCCCCTTTTCCCCACCATTTCTTCCCTTTTAAATTTTCTTAATAAAAATTATTATTTTTAGCGCTATCGGAAATATTCGTCGACAGGCACCGAATATTGTAATTTTGACAATCTCTTTAATTTGAATTTAAAAAATATTTTTAAGACTATGCTTACAATCGAAAGTAGATCTTTGGATGTAGTTAATCAAGTACAGGATTTTGAACATCTAAAAGTGCTTAGTCTTCATTATTCTCCAATTCTAGACGATGTTATTCTGCCCGATTTGTTTCCTGCTAACTTTTCGCAACAATTAAAGGCTCTCGAATTGTTTGTTGTTAGTGAGAATGTAAGTATTATAAATAAAGCAGAGCTGGGCTAGTAGCAATTTCTCTCCTTCAGCTAGTGTAAAAGGTTATTCGGCGATTGGGAGAGAACCAGCATCTTCGGTAGACTGGACTGATGTGTTATCCGTTAGCGTTAGGAATTAAATAGCTATATGCTTTACACAGACTACATATCTCCATCAAAATTATTTTATTTTTTTTTCAGTTTATTTCTATGCGCTTTCGTCCAGAATTCTTTCTACAATTGGAGCACATTAAATTCGATATCATTGAAAACCCCACAACTAATTACAACACAATTTTGGGTCAAATTGTTGAGTTTCCAGCATTGCGTTCAATCTCATTGGGAGTTTATACCAGAGCGAAAAAATTAATCCGTCGGGCTGAATATCTGAATTTTATGAGAAGATTGTATGAGAAAGGGAAGTTGGAGGTGAGTAGAATTATTCACCTTGTTCTTCCCTCTTGACAAAACAATCTTTTATTTTAAAGCATTTGAAAGTCAACTTGCTTCTCACAACTGAAATGGCGATTGGTGTATTCCAACATTGCCCTGTAATTTTTATTTTTTTTAATTAAAATAAACATTTCCTTCTTTTTCAGAAAATCCGTTCATTGTATTTCTATAAAAGTTCAAATCCAAATAATATAAACGAAGAGGAAGAATATTTTATTGCAAATGAATTTATTGAGAGATTTGAACAACTAAAACTAAACAAAATCCCCCCAACTTCTGACTCTAAAAAAGTTGTAATGCTCGGAAATTTGTTTAAAGGGACTAAACTTGAAAGAGGAAATGAATGGATTAAATGTAAAGAAAATATAAGAGGAAGTCATGTATTGAAGGAATTATTTGTTAACGAATTTAAAGAATATGAGGAAAATAATACTCGAAAATAATACAGAATAAACTAATTAAATATTGTAATCTCTATATTGTTTTACATAAATATTTTTATTTATTGTTTTTGCGTTGTAATTATTACCCAGAAAAGATAAAAATAATTATAATAGATTTAACTTATTTTTCATTAATACACACTGTATTTTGGATTAAAATATGCATTTTGAATTGAATAAAATTAGAGTTGAAAGTGTGCCTTTTTAATTTTAAAAATTCTCTCGTAGTTATAGTCACGGTGTTGTTGAGTTTTGATCACTATCGCGGGTTTCATCAAAAATGCAGCATTTAAAATTTACTCTTGTTATATAAAAATTTTTTTGTCATCTAAAAATCCAAAAATCTAAAAATCCAAAATTAAATTTAAACTTTTTCATACTAACTTCCTACTAGACATACATAGAAACATATTTTCTATAAATTTCTCCAAAATATAAATTTCAAAAAACTACCAATAGAATAAAAACATAATACTAAAGGAATCCTGACAGATTATGTATATAAAAGGATCCAAAAATGATCACTTAGTATGTATTCAGTAACTTATTAACTAACCCTTCACGGTTCACTTGCCCGTCTATTGCCGTCGAAGATGTCTCGGCAAGGTCAAATGTTGCAGGCGATTGGAGAGGATGGCATTGTCTACACTTGGTACAGACGCCCATACAATCGCCGAGTACCTACTAAACGCCAACTTGAACTTCAACAACAACTACAGCCAATTCAAGGAGAACCTCCACCAACACCACAGATGCTAAATCCAAAACAAACTCAGCTTTGTGAGTTGGGTGAATTGATTTTGGTATTAAACGTTATTTAGTTTCATTTAAAATCTTTTAAAATTTTAAGATTCGTTGCTTCCAATCTTTGCCAATAAATGATCGGTTCAACATGGAACACGTTTCTCGCCTCTTCCAGTCGGCCTCTAAAAGGAGTTGGAACATCCAAGAACATGTAGTGGTTGTCCCAGATGTAGTTTTAGACGAGGAATATAGTTATTCTATTGATGTAAGGGAATAAATCGAGATTAAAATAAATTTCAAAATTTTCAGGGTCGTTATCTTTTTCGTCTTCTGATGAAGAGATGTGCTCGTTACTGTTTAGAATTGACAATACACTCAATGTTAAAACAAGACCGCATTTTTCGCCTTCTCCATTTGGGCTATAGAGTTGAGCATCTTTGCATTGATTCTCTACATTCAATTTGTGGGTCAGAACTTGAGGAAATTGGAGAACGATTGCCTAATCTAAAATCACTAATTATCAAAAAGTGTACTTTTGTAAGTTTATCTGATGCAAATTATCCCTAAACATTCCCCTTTTAGCATTTCTCAACAATTAAATGCTTCAATTTAATGTTAGAACAACTTAAACAACTCCAAATCCTGTCAATTTCCAATTGCAACAATTTTAGTAAGAAGAAATTATTTTAATTTTTTTATAATTTTTATTTTTACTAGAATGTCACTTAGAACAATTGCCGAGTAGTCTTCGAATTTTCTTTTTGGATGATTTTCAAATGGAGAATGCACAAAAGTAAAATTAATTAAAAATTTTTTAGTCAAAATTATTTTAATTTCAGTGTTCTTCGAAATATTCATCGACGAGCACCAAATATTGTAAGTAATGTTTTCGGGATTTGTCTCGCTCTCATTTTTTCTAATTAGAGACGAAATGAAAGAATTTCGTCCTCATCTTATTCTGGGGAGATGAAAAGATAGGAAAAATGTGTCCCATAAAGATATTTTTTTGTATTTCCGTCTTGTCTCTAATATAATCCCAACAAATCCCTCTTAATACTCCCAAATCCATCGATATCCCCTTAACACCCAAAAATCCACACGCAAATCCTTTATCTCCCAAATATTTGGACTTGACCTATTGGATCCTGACTTTTTGGTTTTGACTTTCTGAGTTTATCCCATTCTAAAATAATTATTGTTATTTACAGACGGTGCTTTCAGTAGAAAATATTGGAGATTTGAATGAGCAAGTACAAGCATTTGAGCATCTTAAAGTGCTTTGTCTTCCTTATGAACATTTTACTGCAGATGATGTTAATGGATTTACTCCAAACTTTTTACAACAACTAACGGCGTTTGAGATGGGGATTGTTAGGGATGAGGTAAAAATTTGAAATAATCTTTAAATATTCCCATTATTTTAGTTTGCTCTCTTGCGTTTTATACCGGAAATGTTTCCTCAATTAGAACATATTACCTTAAAAAGTATGGAGTTTTTAAACTTTAAACTACACAAATATTTGGATCCAATTGCTTTGTTTCCTGCATTGCGATCGTTTACACTAAAAGTATATGCTCGAACTAAATTACCTGCGAATCAAGCTGATTATTTGAAATTTTTGAGTAAATTAATTCTGAAAGGGAAATTGGAGGTAAATAGACGAAAAATGGTTTAAGTAAAATAAAAATTCACTGAAAAGTCTAAGACATTTGTCTAGAGTTTTCAAGTACTTACACTGTGTTTCGAGAGTATACGCGCACCTAAATTTTTCGATTTTTCTGTCATACTTGATATCTTCTAGATTTTTTATAATATATAAATTAACTAAACAAGAAGATCTATGGACAATCTAGAAGATATTGACTTCTATATTGACTTCTAGACTAAGATATTGACTTCTAGAAGATATTGACTTCTAAATGATGAAAAATATGACAGAAAAATCGAAAAATGTAGGTGCGCGTATACTTTTGAAACACATATCTTTAACTAAATGAATTGAAAAGTCTAAATTCTCAAATTTATTTTAAATATAAATTCAGTGAATTATTTAAAATTTAAATTTTAACTTTAATTTTTAAATATATTTACTACTATTTTTTAGTATTTGCTAATAAACTTCCCTCTTGCAACTGGACTTGCAATAGATGCAATTAAATATTGCCATGTATGTTACATATTTTAATTTAAAAAATAAATTTTCTTTTTTAGAATATAAAAACATTACTCTTTACTAACGAAACTGTAAATGATGAAAAATATTTTAAAATTGAGGAGTTTATTGAAGAATTTAAAAAATTAAAGGAAAACATTCCCCCTCCAATAAATGATGAAAATAAAATTAAAATGCATTGGAGTTTATTTGTAGATACTGAATTTGAGGATGGAAATGAGTGGATAATGACTGATTATTTTACTACTAAAAATAAAATTTTGGAACAATTAATTAGTCAAGAAATTGGTGGAAATGTTCCTATACAGTTAAAAAATATTAAATAAATAATTTATATTTATTTATTTATTTTTGCAGGCTATTCGATGATGTGACAAGTTAAAGAAGAAAAGAGAAGAAAGAAAAAAAAATATTTAAAATAAATAACCTATCATAAAATTTTATATTTTTCGCTTAAAAATTAAATGTTAATAAATTTGTTATTTTATTTCTTAGACAAGAATATGAGTGTTAATTACAAAAAAATTTATTTAAAAAATCACATTTTTATGGGTTAACTTTAATTTATGTATTTTGCTACAATTAAAAAAATTGTTAAAATTAAAAAAAATGACTAGCAGTAAAAATTAATTATATTTAGAATATAGCACAAAATTTATAAAAATTTTATGTCAAAACTTTAAATAAATTTTGGGCAGTTAAAAAATGAACGATAATTTCCCGTTAATGCCAAACATTAAATTTCCTTGGCTGTTTTTTTAAATTTCCTTGGCGCAGATTTACAAGGCATGAAAATTGAAAACGATGTCTTTTTAGTCAACTTAATTATTTAGATAAATCAAATGAGTTAATTTTATAATAAAGAATCCATTGGGGGAAATGTTAGGCATTAAAGAAGAAGTATAAAATAAACAGTTTAACAGTTTAAATGCCTTTCTAATTCTTTTTGGATAATTCCAAAATATTATTTGGAATATAAAAAATATTAAACAATTACATTTTTATCTAACATTTTATAATATTTTGGATTTGGAATTATCAGAGTTTAAAATAAAAATTAACATTAAAGAATAAAGGAAAAGAAGGGGGAAGGGAGGGCCTTCATTTTTAAGAGGGCTTTCATAATTGTATTTACAAAAATTATTTTTTTATAATTTTTTCCAGAAATATTTTTCTTTCACTATCTTCCATCAAAAATTCATTGGGTAATTGGATTATAATGTGAAGGATGCATTTGTAATGGAGAAAATTGTATAGCCATATTTTGAGTAGTAGATGGCAAATTAATTCCATTAAAATTTTGTTGGTAAAATTCGGGTGTTGAAGTTGGGGGAAATTGTTGTTGATTTTGTTGTTGTTGTTGTTGATGTATTCCACCAACCATAAGAAAAGGTTGGTTAAGTTGTATTGGTTGGGTTGGGGCACATAAAAATTTAAGAAAATATTAAACTAAATAATTAAAATTTTATTTCTTTTTTAAATCAAGAATAGGAGAAATCTTTAAGAAAAAAAAAGAAAATTAAGGGAAGGAAATCACAATAATAATTTATAAGGCCAGCTAAAATCATTGACTATACCAATATCTATATTTTAGAGCTCAACGGTCAGACGCAGTTAGAAAAATTCAAAATTAATTACCAAAAGCAGCAGCAAGTAAATATTGTTGTTCAGCTAGCAAAGCTGCCTGTGAAGGTTGTGAACAATTAATTGAACTAATTGGAGGTGAAAAGATTAAATTATTATTAATTGACTGATTTGGATTATTTAATTGTTGGGGGGTAGATGGTTGAGAATGTTGCTGTTGTTGATTTGTTGTTGAAATATTTAATTGTTGTTCAAATGAAAAAAGTTGTTGTTGAGGTGGTTGGGGCTAAAAATTGAAAAATATATTTTGGAGAGATTTTCTGTAAAAGTAATAAAGAAAAATTTATTTTTTTTAGATTTAAAATTTAATTTTAATATTAAAATAATTTTTTCCGAAAAATAATTACAGTTTTTGATTGTTCTGATACAACAATTCCTGTTGGGAAGGAATCAACATTTAATTGTTGATTATGGTAATGTTGTTGTTGTCTTTGTTGTTCCCCTCCATCTAATGTTGTTTGTTGATCTGCTAAAAAATAAAAAAAAGGATATTTTAATAAAGATAAAATTAATATTACGGCAAAATTCTCCACTTCCATCTACATCAATTTCTGATGGATTTGTGTATATACCTAATTATTTAAATTTAAAATTAAATTAAAAGAAATAAATATTTTTACTATAAATTGGACTTTCAGCATCATTATTAGACGCTCCAGAATCAGAATCTATAGTTCCATTCCTTCCAAATAAATTTTGTAATCCAATAGATGAAGGGACAGAACTGGGACCACTTCCACAACCTCTCCCATTACTTCTCATATCTATACTGAAACAATCTGGAGAATGTTGATCGCTTTGATTATTTGATAAATAACGACGATGTGTATCTTTCTTTAAAAGAATATTTTTATTTAATTTTTGAAATTATTTTGAGTGTATTTAGTTAAAAAAATTTGATGGTTTTATCCAGACCTGCTTATGGATACGGATATGGATACAGAAAATATCAAGATGCCTCGGATATCCGCCTGTATCAGTCGTAAACATCCGGATACGGATATCAGAATCAGTATCCGTGAGCAGGTCTGGTTTTATCCCCTGTTTTTGCCCCCACATTTAGAATTGTCGGTTAGAGAGAGAATTGATATGCATGTTTTAACATTTCTAAGCTTTTTGCTGATTTTTCAGTTTGTTTCGGATACACAAAAAATTTCAAGGAACCGAAACAACTTTCGAAAGTTACAAGTTTATCAGTTCATTTACATAATTATTGTATTTACTAATTTTTATTTTTTAAAGTTATTTCCTATGTTAAAAGTGTTTTTTCTTATTAAAATAACTCAACCTTTAAACGTTTTTCTTTAGCACGCCGATTCTATAAAAAATAATTTAATTATTTCAAAATTAATTAAATATACCTGAAACCAAACTTGAACAACTCTCATATCCAAACCAGTTTGGCTAGCTAATTGTTCACGAATATGTCTAGCAGGTTTATTACTACATTGATATGCATGTTTTAACATTTCTAAACTTTTTGCTGAAATTGTTGTTCTTGGACGTTTATTGCCCAAATCCATTTCTGCTGATTCTTTAAAATTTAAAAATATTTATTAAATTATATATTTGAATTTTGTGAAAAGGTGAAAAGAAATTTTAATAAATTTATTCTTTAATTTTAAATTAAACAAAGAATTGAATATACCAGATTTCCTGACAATTTCAACCCTCCTCTAAAGGGCAGTAGTATTTGAGGGGGCAGTATTATTTCAGGAAATTACGGTGTGTATCTTTAAATTAGGGCTCGATCCCCGTTCCCCAGTGAATGGAATTTTCAGGGCAATTCAACCCATGAGGAAGCTCGCGGGGAATCCCGGTAATAGTTTGGAGGTCGCCCCCACCCTCTTTTTTTCTTTCTATCATTTTGTATTTTTTTTTCTCATTTTATATCAAATTATATAGTATTCGAAAGAACTCTTCGAGCTGAGTTGATTCGACCAAGCTCCTAGAGCTCTTTCGAATGATATATAAAAATTATAGTATATCAAGCAAAAAAGGCCATAATGGTCAGGGAAGTGTGGAAAAAAGGGGAGCTATTACCGGAATCCCCCATCCTCGCGTTCCTCAAATACAAGTTCACCACGATCCACTTAAAATCGGCCCTCTCCTTAATATTAAGCCCTACTCTAAATATATTCCAACATTTTAAAAAATCCTTTAAATATTACTGCAAATATATTAAGTATATTTTTATGATGTTTTATACGTATAATTTAATTTAAAAAAATATAAAATAATATTTATCCTTAATTTCTCAATAAAAATATTTATTTTTGTTTATTTTATTTAATTTAAAGAGTATTTAAACAAAAAATTTAACGTCTCGAAGGGATTAAATAAATAAATTTATTTTTTTTTATTTTTATTAAATTAATATAATTTTTTTTTATTTTTTAATCTTTTTTTAAAAGGAGACATTTAATTTTTCTTTGTTTTTGTTAAAAATGTGTTTTTGTTTGTTTGTTAACGTCAAGGGAAAAAAGGGATTTAAAGTGTCTCTATTGGATTATTTTTTATTTAATTGGCAGTTGCGAATTATATTTTTATTTAAATATATTAAAGTTTGTTTATTAATTTTTTAAATTTTTAAATTTTTAATTAGGAAATTGTTTGTAAATAAAAATAATTTAGAAAAAATTAATAACCGGAAATTTATTTTTTTTATTTAATTATTTTTGTAAAAATACCTATGTAAAAAATAAAAATAAATATTATTGGCCGTTTTTAAATTAAATTTTTGGGATGGTATTTTTTATAAATTATTTTATTCTTTTTAATTTATAAGAGTTTTTGAATGATATATTACGCTTAAAATGATTATTACACATTTGCTCAAGAAATTCCGAATCCTGATGGTTATGAAAATTTTGTTATTTTCGATCACAACTCCCTGAATACCCAACTAAAATTTTTTATATTTTGGAATCTTTTAGAAAATATACTAGTGAATGATTATTAATATAAAAGAATATTTTCAGAAGAAAACAGTCACAAAAATCCAAATTAAAAACGGCCATTATTATTAGTTATGTCTGCATTTAATAGCTAAATATTTAGTGATTAAAGTAAATACAGTATATCTTTTTATCCTTCCATTTTCTACTTAAGAACAAGATGAGTTATATTTTAGTTTATTTATATTTTGTTTTTAATCTTTTTAAATTTAAAAAAATTAAAAGAAATGATGAATGAATAATAAATATTTTTAATAGAAATAAGCTGTTTAGAGTTTAGATCATTGAACTTTTAAATGAATAAAAATATTTTTTCCATTTTATAAATGTTTGAGTGTCTCAATCCTAGCCGAGAAATTTTAATGGAAAAATTTATTTAAATGACTATAATTAATTAAATATAAAACAAATGTATCTTTTTAAATTTCCAAACTAAATCTTTATTAATAATTAATAAAATTAAATTTAAATATTTTAAAATATATATTATTGTAAAAATATTTAAAGCATCCATTTATTTATATTAGTAGGGAGTGGCAAAATATGCACGAAAAATCCCAAAATATGCGCATATAAATGCACCGAAAAAGCCTAAAATATGCACAAAAATATGCCAAATTTTCCAAAATATGCACTAAATATGCAGCAAAAATAATAGAAATGTGGTTTAAAAATCCATATTTTGAGTAAAAAATACTAATTTAGCATTTAAATTGCAGTTAAAGAGCTCTTCTAGAAGATTTTATGAACTTAAAATTTAAGTTCCGATAAAAATTTTTTGAAAAAAGTTTTTTCCGAAAAATTTTTTGAAAATTTTGCTAAACAAATTTTTATCAAAAAAACCCAAAATATGCAAAAAAAAAAAATTCCAATATTTTTAAAATTTTGCCCGATTTTTACTAAAATTTCTCAAAAAATGCCAAAATAAGCAAAAATTTAGGTAAAAATATGCAAAATTTCCCAAAATATGCACAGATATGCAAATATGCACGAAAGTACCAAAATATGCAAAAATATGCATTAAGAACCCGATCCCTAATGTTCGTACCAATGTAAAAACACCATTTTTGAGCGTTTTAGCCGATGGCATATCCGCATGCAAAATATGCATTTGCATGTTTTGCCACTCCCTATATATTAGTAATAAATTTATAAAAAAAGGATTTCAAGAACAGACATGACTAAAAGATTATTTTATTTTTTAATCTTTTTTTGACTTGTTTTTAATGGAAATTAGTATAATAGTAAGATGAAGAAATGAACTAAATAAACTCAACAAATATAAAATGGATCAGTTTCAAATTTTGGTAGAATATAGGTAAGGATATTAAGTATCAATAACGAAAAGAAAAAGCGATGCTAAAAAAGGAAATGGGGTGTTCAAAGATTACCAAGATTCGCCAAGCTTTTCATAACCAACGAAGTAGATCGGAAAAAGAGCGGAAAATAAAAAATCAAAGTCAAATTTTTCCTTCCATATCCTCTAGCGCCCCTTCAAATCCCCGCTATCCGTTCAAACTCCTGATATCATTTCTAATTCTATTTATCCCTTTAAATCTCCCATTTAAGGATTAAAAAGGTTATAACAGGGCTCTCATCGACAAAATACCAATCAAAAGTACAAAAATCTTGATTTTAAAGTACATAGGGACAAAATTTCCACATTTAAAGTACACTCAAAATTAAATTAGAAAATACATATTTATTCGTGCTTAAATTTTTATATTTCTCTCCTAAATGAATCTTTTCTAATAATTTCTTGTTTCCACTGAGCATTTTGTGCATTTCAATGCATGACATGTCAAAATTCGCTGACACAAGAAATAAAGCCCTGACAGTCAACCTCAAACAAGCTACTTTCTTTCGTCATTTTTCAGCGCCGCAGGCGAAAATTTTGAGAATTTTAGAGCTCAAGAAGCCAGATTATTTCCATTTTTAGCGCCGCAGGCGAAAATTTTTAAAATTTTAGAAGGCCGTAGGCAAAAAAATTCACTTTTTCAGCACCGCAGGCGAAAATTTTTTGAAATTTGGAGCCCAAGAAGCCAGATTTATTCCTTTTTCAGCGCCGCAGGCGAAAATTTTGAGAATTTCGAATGCCGTAGGCCAAAAAAATTCACTTTTTTGCCCAATCCCTTCCCCAATTTCATTTTCAATCTAAAATGTTGATTTTAAAGTACATACTTTCAATAAAGTACAAATTCAATTTTGTAAGTACGGAGGTCGATTTTAAAGTACTGTACTTTCAAATAAAGTACGAATGAGAGCCCTGGGTTATAACCAAAGGATCGTTAGTGATAATTTTCACCTTTTGTGAAAATTTCGCCTTTCACCGGTCGCTTTTTAAATTGACTTTCGCCTTTTTGCCTTTCACTTTTTAAAATCACTTTCGACAACCCCCGGCCTACACCTGAATGTTTATTTGTTTTATATAAAGTTGTGGATATATTTGGAATAACAGTAAAGTTTAAACAAAATATAGTAAACAATTAATTGGAAATTTTAACAAATAAATTATGATTCAATTTAAAATTAAAAAACTATGGCAAACAGAAATATGCCCCACAAACTTTAATTAATCCAAACTTTAAAATAATAAATAATAAAAAATATTTTAAATCCGATTAGTTAAATTTTTTTAATTTTGTACTTTTTTCGATCATTTTTATATTTTCCGGTGAAAAAACTCTTTAATTTTTCTCGCAAATCGGCTTTAATATAAAAAGGGTGAAGGAAAAAAATAAAAAAATGAAGCCATTTGCAAAGGAAAAAATTGTATATATTTTGGATATTATGGAGGGGGAAGAAAATAAAAGTTTTTAACAGTGTGGGAAGTAATTTAAAAAATAAAAAATAATAATATTTTTATTGCAAAAATTCATAAATATGTTTATGTAGCAAATATGAAGACGCTTTGATAAAATAAAAAATTAAAAAAAAGCTTAAAGAATGAAAATAAGCGGATTTTTGCGCAACTTTGAAGGAGGGACGAGTGCTGGGTTGGGACCAAGTTGGGACCAGTACCGTTTTCAAACCATGGCTCCGGTCAAGGACCGGATCCCGAACTAGATTGGGGCTTTATTGAAAATATTATATGTACAGGGTGACCATAAAAGTTTTTACTCTGTTTCCTCGCAAAGGGTTGGTACTTAAAAAATTCCTGATTATTTTTGTTCCTTGGTTAATTCTCTATAATTTACGATTTATTTGATCTCAATATATTAAATTTGAATAAAGTTATGGCATAAAAAATGTGTCATAAACTTTAATGGTCATCTTGTATATATTTCTCTCCCCAATATCTCGTCACAATTAGATTTACATTTTAATAATTATTTTATTCTAAAATATTTTTTAAAAATTAATTTTAAAATTAAAATTAAATTTTAAATAATTAATTATGCAAAAATAGTTATTAAAATTATTTGCAATATTTACATTTTAAAAAAGGTCAGAAATGAATAAAAATATTTAATATATATTTTAGATTAAAAGATTTAAAAGAAAAATTTAAATGTTAATGGCAGATTTTATTTTAATTCTTCTTTAATATTTTTTAGATTAAATTTAAACAAAAAAATAATTCAAATTAATTTTTATTTAAAATACCTTTTTGGGCAGTTTCAAAGTCTTGTCTACAAACTAATCTACCATCCATTGGAATAAGATAAAATTGATCACCAGTGTCCATTTCCCGCTTTAAAATTAAATAAATTTTGTGAAAAAATTACTTTTTAAAATTATGAATTTAAAAAAGGGAGAGAAGAAAATAATATTTATAACTTTGGTATATCTTAAGTCTTGCCGATATAAAAAATAAATTCCGATTTCGGAAACTACCTAAAAGACATTCCCATCCAAAAAACGTCGGGAATTTCTGATTTCGGGAATTTAGGAACTTTTGTTATGTAATTCAATGTTAGAGACAGAGGCAATATAGGATGGTAAATTTAAATCTAGACAATCTAAATTTTAAAAAATTTTCGATTTTTCAAAAAATTTCGGAAAACAGGACAGAATTCCTGGCATGTATAGTAATTAAGTTTAATAAAATTGAATAATTTTTAAATTTAAATTCCCTACTTTGCAAACAACACATTGAAAACATTGTAAATGATAAATATGTTGATTTGCCCTTCTTACAATACTTCTTTCGTCAATTGGGGCTGCACAACGAGAACATTTTGGGCCGAAAGTATTTAGAAAATGTTCTCGGCAAAATAAAAGAGAATTTCTGCTGAAACAAGTTCCTGAAGGGAAGGGCTGTCTACAGACTGAACAATTGAGGCACTTTTCGTGATAAAATTGGGAATCTAGCACCTTTAAATATTTTTAAATTAACGAATCTTTTTTCTTAAATTTTGGTTTCATTGAAAGAAAAGTTTTTAATAAAACCAAAAGTTTTGCTTTTCAGACAAAAATATCCAAAAAAAGATTAATATAATTATTTAAATAAAAACCTTATATATAAATCTATCTTGAATGGGCAATCCACAACTTGAACATAAACAGAATTCTAGATTTTCTAAAATATATTAAATAAATTAAATATTTAAAATTATTTAATTTTAATTTTAAATTTAGTCAAAAATACTTGTAAAAGACTAGGAAAAATAAATTAAATTTTAATTGTATTTAGACGAATTTCTAAAAGAAAGGCTCAAGTAGGTATGGCAAAAATATTTGAATAGTCTATGAATAAATAATTTTTAAAACATTTAAAATAAATTTGGCATTTTTAATTAAAAACTGTTAAAATATCACAAAAGGGGGGCTTCAATTCACATTAAATCTAACAATTATATTCTTATAATTTTAAATTTTAATTCAACCCCCCCTCCCCCCTCTTTTATTTACCTATTTTAATATTTCTTCTTAAAAGCTTTTTTGGCACCTCTATTATTTAATGCTTTATAGTCAATTCAATACTTAAAGCTTTACTCATCTTCCCCCCCCCCCTCCCCATTTTTTCTATTATTTTTCATCCTCCACTTCCTCTTTTAAAAACACAATAGAGCGGCTGCTTTTTATTTTAGTATTACCGCCTCTTTGCGCACACCAATTTCCCTATGGATGGGGGGGGGAGGGGAGGGGGGGGGGGTCAAAAATGTGTGAAAATTGAGAAAGGAAAACAAAAAAAATAAATAAAATAAAGAGCTAACCAAAAAAATATTTTTATCTATTTATTTCCGTGGGCCAACATTAAATTCATTTATTTTTAGGTTCAACGGGCGGAAATAAAGAAGAAGTCCCTATATAAAAATGTTGTTGGGTTTATTAAAGGTTAGAAAATTGGTTTTTTATTTTAATTTTTGCCTTAAATTTTATTTTTTAATTAAAAATTAACTTTTATTTTTCTTCGTTTTTCTCATTTTTAGCCATTTTCTAGAAGCGATCGAATAATTTCAAGTATTTGAAATTCAAAGTTCGACTAAAGTTTTCTTTGAGTAAACCTAATTTTTTTAATTTTCAACTTCAACTTCAATTTTAACATTTTCCCCATCCCTAATAAATAATATACTTACTTTCTATTTAAATATATTAACCAACTTTAAGAAATATACATTTCTATTTATAATTAAATTTTCCACCTTCCCTCCCTCCCCCCTCCCTTCTTCTTTTTTACAATTCATTTCCGTTTTTACTTTTTACTCATTTCTTTTCATCTTCACTTTTTTTTCTTGTCCTGGTTTTGGATGTTTCAATCCCGCGGGAATAAACCAATAGGGAAAGGGTGGATAATTCTTTTCAAGCACATAACAAGGACAAGCGCCTGACTGGTTAATAAAAAGGAGGGAAAGAAGAAGAAGAAGAAGAATTTTTATTTTTTTCTAAAAATTTCATTTGCCCTTTTAAATTGACTCAACCGGAAAATTGTAGAAAACCGAGAATTTATATGTAAAAAAGAAGAAGGAAAAATGACAAGTTTTGAATATAAAAATGTTGAATTGGCTAAAAATTGAAAATAAAAAATAAAAATAAAATTATTTTTGAAAAATAATAAAAATATTTTTACAAAAAAAAAGAGAGAGAGAGAATATTTTCAATATGTTTATATTAAATTTAAAGTATTTCCTCTAATACCCTCCTCAAGTTTAATGCCCCCTTTAATATATAAAAAGTCCTTTTTTGAGGATAATTGAAAATTATATGGCCGTGCATTCAATTAGAGGAAATAAGGTATATTTAATCACAACTTTGTATCATCTTAAAAATCTGAGTAAATTATGAGATTTTAGCCTATTTTTAATCAAATCTAAATGATTAAAAAATTAGGAGAATTTTACATGAAACTTATTTATTAATACTTCAAACTTGAAAATTTTTTATTACTTTTCTCTTTTTCTTAACAAACACAACCTCATCACCCCTTTACTCTTCTCTCTCTCCCACAACTACAGTACCTAACCAATCAACGTTTCCTTTTTCCCAAAATTTTTAATTTAAGTTTTTTTCTTTTATTTTACATCCGGCTTTTTTAATAAAAGCAACAAAATAAATAAATAAAATATTCAAAAAATTATTTTAAAAAGAACATTTATTGATGAAATAATTCAAAATAAAAAATTAAAGAAAAATTTGAAAAGAAAAGTGATTAGAAAAAAAGATTGAGATTCATGCTGAGTAAAAAAAGTAAAAAATTTTTTAATTTATTAATTTCCTCAACAATAAAAGATTAAAGAAAGAAATGAGGGTTTTTTTTATTTTCTCTCCAAAATAAATGAATGAACGTTTTTAGTTATTTTTTTATTAAAAATTACAATTCTAAATTAATTTACAAAAGTATTTGTGATTAGATATTTAGAGGAAATACTTAAATTGAGGGAAAAATAAAAGAAATGTTGAAGAGAAATATAGAAAAAAGAATTTCTTCTTTTAATTAAAATTTTGAGAAAGGAAACTGTAAAAATAAATTAAGGTCGTTTAAGAAAAAAAATTCTGTAAAATTAATTAATTTAAAAAAATAATTAAAAATTGGTATACCTATTTGACACTAAAAATTTTTCTAGGTTTGTAAAACAAAATTTAAGTAGTTTTTGGACATGAAAAAAATACTTTTCTATTCAATAGAGCCTTACATAATCAAAAATTTCCCAAGATTTAAACCCAAAACCTGGATAAAAAAAACTCCCAAAAAACATTTTGAGTCACGATTTATCAAGTCTTGGACATCTCTCCTAAACAGATACTTCCAAAAATTCATAAACAAATAACTAATCTTTCAACCCCAATTTTTATCATAAACTTTAATTAATCACAAATTTATTGGTCCAAAGTTTGGGATTTTCCCTCTTTTTTAGAGAGAAAATCCCAAATGCTAAAACCTCAAAATCAACTCCTAAAAATATTTTTTGCTTCTATTTTATGTAATTTATAAAATTAAAATATTCAAGGAAAACCATGCAAAAAACGGTTGATTTTATTTTTAAATGAAAAAGCTGAAAGAAAAATTGTGATTAATTGCTTTAGTTACTAGACGGCATTGAAAAAAAAATAGAAAATATTTTTCTTATTTTTTTGTGTAAAGATTTATGTAAAAATGGAGAAAATAAGGAAATTTTGAATTTTTTGTTATTTAGAGAAAATTTAAAGAGATAATTTAAGGAAACATTGGGGGTATTTAATTAGAATTTGATATACTATACTTATTTTAAAAATTATTCTCGATAAGCCTAGTTATATTGACTCACTTGAAAATTTAAACTAATTTAGGAAATGATTTAAAAAGGGATCTCTGTGATTTTTACGAAATAGAAAAGTCCAATAATTAAAATAAAAAGGAATTATCGGACTATCAGAACTTGACACAAAAATCTAAAGAACGTGACGAGGGAGACCGATATGTATGTAAATAAATATAAACATAATGGCTGGATCTAGTGCGCTCTTATATGCTAATAAAAAATAAATATAAAAATTTGTTAAAACAATTTTTTATTAAATTAAATAATATTTTTTTCCATTTGAAAATAAAAGTCCCAACAGGTGGGAAACGTTTTGTTTATAAAAATGCCGCGCAAACCCTTTAAATGAAAGAAAAAATTTTTTTGTTAATAAAACATTTTCCGCCTTAAAGCATGTTTATTTATTTATAAGTTGGAGTGCCGCTGCGCAATACAAAAAATTTTAAGGGCAAAAATGCCGACAGACGGTGCCGTTTTCTCACCAGTTTTGTGACAGTTGATATGCCCAAGTTGGGAAAAAATTATTGAAAAAATAACAAAATATATTTAATTATTATAAAAAATTGAGATTTTTGAGTTAAAAAATTATTTAGAAAAAATATAAATTTTTTATTTCAAAATTATTTTCACCTGTCTAAATTAATTAATGCTGGTGATTAATTATTTTACATATAATTAATTTTGTGTTTTTAAATAAAATTTGGACTTATTTTAACAAAAAAATTTCAAAAATATTTATTTTAATTCTCAAAGCGAGCTTTAAAAAAGCGCATAATGGGAAGATATGGATAGCTAAAGAAGATCAATTAAATTAAAAAATTTCCCTTTTTTTAATTTTCTCATTTTTTTAAATTTTTACTCAATAAATATACTCCAAATAATCCTTTGAAAAAATAAAAAAAGCTTTTCCTCTTTTTTTATTGATGAGCGGAAAATGGCACGATTATGCAAATCACATTGGCCATAAAAAATAAACAATTCAAAAATCCTTCTATAATACAGCCGG